AAATTTCAAAAAAAAAAAAAAAAAAACCAAAGAAAAAAAAAAAAAAGTAAGGAAAAGAAAAAAAAAAAAGAACGGTGTTCAAAGGTGTTCCAGTTTGGACAAGAGATTCTATGGTGACTCTCCATACAAATCTTAGTTATGTGTCCCTGAGGTTCAGCTGAGCCTCGTTTTCACCATGTGCCTCTTCAGAGTTTTTACGGCTAAAAGAAATTAATTGCTGCCCTTTATTATTTTACCCGGTGCAGAGACAAGTCGTTCGACATGTGACAGGATTTAATCCTCCCCCAAACCCCACAGGTCAGAACGATCCTCCCCATTTTACCAGTGAGGAAACTGATGCCCAGAGATGGGGGCTGGGGAAAGAGAGGGGCTCTGTGCTTTTCTGAACTTTCCTGACTAGGAAAAAGCCTACAGATAGGAGGTGGGAGAGGGTAGTCGCTTTATTTGTCGGGATTTTTTTTGCGGGGGGGGGGGGGGGGGGCGAGGAGAAAGCAGGGAAGCCCTCTGAATTTGGCAAAGGTGGCCCTTTCCTGAGGCTCCCTGGAGACATCTTCCCGCGTGTGGAACATCTGGGGTGGGAATGGGCACGGAACACGAGCGGGAGCAGAGTCTGACATCTTTTAAGAGCGTGAGGATGACTCCTTCTGCAGGAGGGCCGAGCCAGAAAGGTCATTCTGGGCCTTCAGAAATCCAGCCTGCCTGCCAAATGCATCCTTGTGCCGCACTCCTGACATTGAGAGATACCTGCACGGCCTCTGTCGGGCTTACGATGAGGTGCAGGAAAAGTACAAAGGCTGAAAACTTGACCGGTCCAGAGAGACTGACAACGGGCCAGATGCATTAAACGCTCCACAGACCACGAGGCTGCGCACGACGACCACCCGATACGGGGACCTCGCCAGAGATGTGGCCCAGCCCAGACATGCTTTACGCCCAATAATGATCCAAATGGACTCCTCAAGAAAGCAATCACCCTGAACACACTGTGCCCTCCAGACGTGTAACAGGCCTGGCACACGGGCCACTCCCCTGCTCAGAGCAGCGCTGACACGGCCACCTGCCCAGACCTGCTACCCATCCCGTTCACACCAATGACCTAAGGCGCACGACCACTTGCTGGCACCGTGAGAGGCCCCACCCACCAGAACTCGGGTGGGTAAGATGGGGAAGGAGACCAAGCTGAGGTTACCTGAAGTTCCCAGCAGAGCAACACCTTCCATCTCGCAGCCATATAAAACCCTGCTACTCAAAGTGCGGTCCCTGAAGCAGGCGCCCTGGCGTCACCTACACGTGTGTCAGAAATGCAGAAACTCAGACCTCATAATCCTGCATAATAAATTCATAAAAATCTGCATAATTCCCCAGGTGGCTCATACGCACTTGAAGCATGAGAAACGCTGCTAAAAATGCTTGAATATCTTTCTAGAAGTCTGAGCTGGGCATCATTTTTACGGGATCGCCGTAGCTGAAGAAGGAGTGAGCGGGGGGGTGGCGCCTGGGTGGCTCAGTCGGCTGAGCATCCATCCGGCTTCGGCTCGGGTCGTGATCTTGCGGCTCGTGGGTTCGAGCCCCACATCGGGGTCTGTGCTGACAGCTCAGAGACTGGAGTCTGCTTCCGATTCTGTGTGTCTGTCCCTCCTCCGTTCACACTCTCTCTCTCTTCTCTGAAAGTAAATAAATGAAACATTTTTTAAAAATTAAAAATTCATTAAAAAAATGATAGAAAGGAGCAGGGAGCAGCCATCGTTCATGTGAAGATATGCCTGCTCACTCAGGATTGTCGTCATGGGCGGGCAAACGTAACAAGCAGGTGGTGATGGCTGACCAGTCACACGTGTTTAGGAAGCTTTGTGTTTCTTAATCTTTTAGAAAACAACCCCAGGATCTGCACACACTTCTCTGAGCCTAATCCAGAGCCAGAAGAGAATTCTGAAAAATTATACACGCTTCCAAGTCTGTTACGGGAATAAGCTTCTGGCAGATTCTGCCTATTTCCCTCAAAATCTGAACATCGTCACAGTCAGGTACTTATTCCTGCCACTCTGACAAGAGCAGGATTATTAACTCTGCCTACGGTAAAATATTCATGTGAAAAATAAAATGCGTTGCAATTTTATGCATTACAACTACTATGAGCTGTTAATGGCTTAGGTGTCCAGACACATCTCATTCCTCACGAGGACTCGTTTCCAACGAGGACACTTCTGTGTGGCTAATTGGGTCCCCTCGTTTTGAACTATTGGCCATAGGTGTGCTGATTCTTCTGTTTACTTCTCCTGACACGGAATCTATGTTTGTCTCACACTGAAAGTTGAGACGGATTCTGTCAGAATTGTTTTTGTTCCCTTCCAAATCCTTCAGTTCCAGAAAAAGGGAGAAGGAAAGTGTATTGTTTTTCTTGGCCAGATCAAAATTCCAATTGCCTAGAAGGATGAAGAGATCAGCAGAAATTGCCTCGCCGGCAACCTTCACCCCAACCCCATCTCACACACACACACACACACACACACACACACACACACACACACACACTAAAGCAGCAGTCAGGTGACTCTGGGCTGTTTGCTGCACAGAAGTGATGTATTAGAAAAAAAGGAAAGATAGGCACCTGGGTGGACCAGTCGGTTAAACCTCTGACTCTCGGTTTTGGCTCAGGTCATGATCTCACGGTTCATGAGTCTGAGTCCCATGTCGGGCTCTGCGCTGACAGTCTGGACTCTGCTTGGGATTCTCTCTCTTTGCCCCTCCCCCGCTCCTTCCTCTATCTCCACTCTCACAAAATAAATAAACATTTAAGAAAAGAGAAAAAGGAAAGAAAAAGGAATCTCTTTCCAGCTCTTGAGCTTTGAATAGCTGTGTTCCCGAAGCATCGCTTTCGGGAAACTTTCTTCCCTGTGATCAGAAAAGCAACGGGATTGTGGGTGAGGGATGCCCATCTCCACCAGAGGAAGGAGGACTTTTTCTTTGTACAAAGGTACTTCTGCTCACCAAGCAGGGAGCCTGCGTGGCTGTGCACACCCACAGGGCACACTGTTTCCTGTGTGGACCATCCAGATGGGTGTCTTTTTCTGATTTGCGCGAAGGCAACATAAATGCTCATGGAGACCCGGGGGTGGGGGTGGGGGGTGGTCCTGAGCAGGAGGCTCTGTTTTCCGCACTTAAATTAGGCCAAGGAAGGTCAGGAAGTAAGGAGAGGAGCTGGGTCTGCTGCCCCATGGAGATTCCGGGGGAGAGAGGAAGACTCTAGAGAAGAAATGGTTACGGGACATATGTGGGCAGAGGGAACTTACCTCTGGCTGTTTCCTGTATGGGAGCAGGGAGCAGGGGCAGCAGCTTCTCTGCTGCCCCCAGGGGGCTGGAGGGCCAGCTCCATCATGAACTTCACAGACAAGGAAACGGAGGAAGGAGAGGGCATGCACAGAGGAGGCTAGCTGGGGAGGGGGGAATCAGAACCAGAACCCCAACGATCAACACCTGTTTTTCCCTGACCTGTGGCCCCCTCTCCTCACAAATGCACACCTTCTTATAATAGAAGCTTACCAGAATTTGGGGTGGGGGGAGTGGGGAACAATGCAAAGGGCGGTGGACCCACAGTGGACCAAGTTTAAATTTCCTCCATGATGGTAGAATAGGAGCTTGGGTTAGAAGATAAGTGGTTACAGGGGGTGCCGGGGTGGCTCAGTCGGTTAAGCATCTGACTTCAGCTCAGGTCACAAACTCATGGTTTATGGTTTTAAGCCCTGCGTCAGGCTCTGTGCTGACAGCTCAGAGCCTGGAGCCTGCTTCAGGGTCTGCGTTTCCCTCTCTCTGACCCTCCCCTGCTCACGCTTTCTCTCTCTCTCTCTCTCTCAAAAGCAAATAAACATAAAAAAAAAAATTTTTTTTTAAAGGAGATAAGTGGTTACAGGAAAAAGGAAATAAAACAAATAAAAGAGGGTACATTTTTGCTTCCCTGTATTTTGTAGGCTGAGTCATACCTGCTATCCTTCCTTCTGCCCAGTCAGGCACCACTGTTTATTTTGAGACAGAGATTTCTAATACTACCTAACATCATGCTTTTAATCAGCACGAAGTGCATATTTTTTAACTTGGCAAACGATGTAGTTCCTTAGAAAAACATTTTTTTTAGTGGCATGATTCTCAAAAACAACATTTAAAGAGTTCTTAAGCAAATTCAAATTTCTCTGATATTAAATGGAAATATCCTGACCTCTTACATTCTAGACAGAGTTTGCTAATAGTACAAATATTTCAGAATTTATTGGTAAAATAATAGTCTGTATTAAGTTCCAATTATTCTGTTAATGTTTAAACCATCTTGGGGCTCCTGGGTGGCTCAGTCAGTTAAGCGTCCGACTTCGGCTCGGGTCATGATCTCACGGTCCGTGGGCTCGAGCCCCGCGTCGGGCTCTGTGCTGACAGCTCAGAGCCTGGAGCCTGCTTCGGATTCTGTGTCTCCCTCTCTCTCTGCCCCGCCCCCACTTGTGCTCTGTCTCTGTCTCAAAAATAAATAAGTCTTAAAAAAATTTTTTTACACATCTTAAGTTACCTAAGCTCCGCATGTTTGTCTTCTCATTTTCAAGAAACAAATTAGTTTTGCGCCCCAATGAAAAGGTACACTTGTATAAAAAAAGACGTTTCAAACAAAATGGGACATTTCGACCCATTTTAAAAAAGCAGCAGCCTGGTAAATAAATACAGGCATGTAAATAAAGGTCTCTGGCTTTCTTCTCTTCCAATAGTTGGAAGAGACGAATGAAAAAGAATTAATACAGTAATTTTCCCATTTGGCCCCCCTTCTAAACTTTCTTCAGCTCCCCAGCATTTATACCAAATTTGCCTTAGTTCTTATTTGAAGGGGACAGTCATAAAAAAGTCTTGAGAAGTGTTATAAAGTTTCCTAATTAAGATACATATTTTTTTCTAACATGGATTAAAACAAGTGTTTTCTGTATTTACAAGCGTTCGGTATAACAGCAACAACATCCCTCTGGTTTACAAGTCAAAAGTGAGGAAAAATACACGTCGCCTTTTGCTTTTACAGAAGCACACATGTCACCTGCACCCCGATTCAGACACACAGCCTGAAATCTGAAGCACACAACGCAAATGGTCACAGGGGGTAAAGCGATCTCTTCCGGAAGACTCTCCCCCCGGTCAGCGTATCGCCCCCTTTACAAAAACGCCACATAAACTAATTCCCGCCCTCCCTCTCCCTCTTAGACGTTTGATTTCAAGTGCACACTTGTATGGAGCCCATGTTACGCTTGCTGTTCTGTTCTATTCAACTAGCTGTTGCTCGAAGGTATGTACGGACGTGGTTTAGACTTCAGGACTTCATGCCCCCCAAGGTTAAGGCCACGACCTTTCCCATCTCCGGCGGGAGGGAGAGACGGAGACACGGAATCCGAAGCAGGTAAGACGGAACTGACTTCCCCACATTCGTCTCACGAAATCCTCAGAAGTGACTGATTTAAACAACTCCACTTCCCACCCTCTCCTGAAGTTGGGGGAGAAGAGGAAGGATGTTTATGGTGGTTGTTGAGCGAGGCTTCAGGGAAAGCTCCCCCCCCCCTTTTTTTTTTTTTTTTTGGCTTCCTCTTCTTCCCCATTTTTTTTGCAGGGAACAGAAAATGATGACCACGGTACAGTGTCTACACCTTGGGATCTTGAGGCTTCAAGCTCTTGTATTAAGGGTGGCTGAGCCAGACGGCAAGGGGGCTGAATCCCTCACGACGGGATGGGACCACCATTGCAGAGCATGAGGTAAGGTTCCATCGGAGAAGCAGCATCACTAGTGTGTGTGTGTGTGTGTGTGTGTGTGTGTGTGTGTGTGTGTCCCGTGACAGAGACTGGACCTTGAGTAACTTCGCGAGCAGGTTAAGCCCTATCTGCAAGGCTGTGGTCCTTGTACCTGATGCTAGAGGCTGCACGCGGCTGAGAAGGAAAGATGGACATGAGATGAAAGAGAAGACCAACCAGAACACTCCGGCACCATCTGGAGTCCTTGGGACAGACTGGGCCCGTGTTAGGCCGTACTGACCTGAGGGGTGGAAACAGCCCTTAGACACTGGGGACTTTTACGGTGGAGCTAAATGCATACACCTGACCCGGGCATCCAAGAAGCTAAGAGGATCCAAGAAAAGGTGGAAAGAGTGTGGGTCCTCACATCAATGAGGTGGGCCAGCAGATATACGAGAACAGACGCGTTCTCAGGTGACCCGAGAACACAGGATGGCTGCCGTGGCCCTTCTCCTCCCCACATTTCCCCAAGAACCTCTGTGCAACCCCCTCTAACCAGGGACACAAGGGGAAAGGGAATCCCAGAATACAGCGTCACACAGCTTGGAGGCCGTCACATCCTGCGGTTCGTGAAGTTTCCTTTTTTTTAATTAAAAAAAAAATGGTTTTTTCACATTTATTTATTTTTGAGAGACAGAGAGAGACAGAGCATGAGCAGGAGAGGGGCAGAGAGAGAGGGAGACGCAGAATCCGAAGCAGGCTCCGGGCTCCGAGCTGCCTGCACAGAGCCCGACGCGGGGGCTCAAAACCACGGATCGTGAGATCTTGACCTGAGTCAAAGTCGGATGCTCAACTGACTGAGCCCCTACATTTCCTTTTTTTAGAACTACTTCATTTGAAACACTGTTAGCAATGAAATACAATCCCTAATGGATGCTGGGCCCCTATAAAGAAATGTTGACTCGTGGCTGAACTAAATAACGAATGTGACATGTGGACTCAGATAACTTCAACAGAAACTTTCCTTGTCTTGATTGCATGTGAGACGTCCCTTTAAAGAAAACTATTGAAAACCTTCAAGAAACGCATACGTGGAGAAGGAAAAGTTAAAAGGTCAAGGCATTGCTAGAGAAGGGCAGAATGAAAGAATCATCTTCTTCATTCCGGAAAGAAGGCCGGGAAGGGATAGGTCATTGTCTATTTGGCAACAGAAGACATAGCCAAGAGAACTGTGGGGCTTGTAAAGAAAATTCTGAAAGGTTAATTCCGGGATGAAGGGACAGCATCGCAATGCCAAGTTGTTTTTTAATTTTATTTATTTTTTCTGAGAGAGAGGGAGCATGTGTGAGCAGGGGAGGGGCCGGGGTGGGGGAGAGAAGACAGAGAGAAAGAGAGAGAGAAGAGAATCTTAAGCAGGCTCCATGCTGGGCATGGGGCTCGATCTCACGACTGTGAGATCATGACCTGAGCTGAAATCAACAGTTGGGCACTTAATCGACTGAGCCACCCAGGCGCCCTGAGTTGTTTTGCTTTGTGGCGTAACAGGCACCCTGTTATGTGACATAAGCTTTTGAAGTACAAGCATTTACGTTTTAAGCCCGTTACTGTGTTGTTACAAACAAGACAATTCCTTGAAATCTGGGAAGGCGGGCGGCACACCACTTGTGTCAGGTGGATCGTCTGGAACTGAGCGAGGACCGCAAGCAGGTTAGTGGAAGCGGGGGCTACCTGTGAACAATAAAGGGGGCAGGAAGCAGAATGGGGCAGAGAGAGCTTGCAGATCCTGAGGTGGACCTGACTCTTTGGGAAGAAAGGGGAGGGAAGCAGGATTCTCTGCGAAAGCCTCAGATTGTGATGCAGATTTGACAAGGTTCAGGTGAATCCAAAGGGGAGCCCTGGGAGAGCCCCACATCTGGCAGAAAGGGCCAAGCCCTAGGATTCACGTCACGCTCAGTCGCTGGTTGGGACATTTCTTAGAAAGAATGTGGTGTCGGCTCAAAAGCCGGGTTGGATCCTGAAGGTGCTGGCACTGGAGGCTGTCAGCCAAGCGCACTCCCCATCCCGGCGATCAGCGGGACCTTCCTTGAAGCAGATCTACGCAAGCGGGCTTCTGTGCCTGCCACGGCACGGTAATGATAGATAGATCCTTTCAACACGAGAGACAAACCCATGTCTCAAAGCCAAGATGATAAGAATACTTATTAGGGCAGTGTGGCTTGCCTCGGACCAGAAACTCATTGGGAAGAACGATTAAGAAATGAATGGGTCTCTACCAGGACATATTACTCTTGATTTTGAGCTGGGAGGTTGCGCTGTGTTCACCCCACACCCCGAACTGGATTGGAACACGGGTTGACATTTATCCACGGTGTTCCCTGTGGCCAAGTTCAGTGACTTTTCTCCCCATTCAGCACACATTCTCCAGGTGAGTCATGCTCCCGTATCTCCCCCACCCAATCAAAGCCCCGCTGTCCCTGCACCCCAACCTCAGGCTTCCTACCTTCCCTAATACCGTAACTTCCCACCAAAGTGTACCTGCTCTGTTTTTCGTTGGCAGACTGACAACCGAGGCTGAAAACTAATTGGCTCGGCTGATGAGAGCATGATGATCGCCTTATTTACCCCTACAGAATTCACCCAAAGAAATGGCTAGCCAAGGGGGGTAGGGGGTGCGGATTTCCTTTCATTTGTTCAGGCCGATGTTGGCGAAATTTTGGACAATGTTGGTAGGTGGTATTTGCCGTTTACATCGAGAAGGCAGCAGCTTATGCTAAATATAATGGCTAGTTCCATATTTTGCTCCCAAAAGGTACTCATTCCTGATTAACGACCTCAGCAAGTGGGTAATGATTATTCATCGGCCTCTTTAGGAACTTTAATCGTGTGGAGGACTTTCTAGACTTCAGATGGACTACTCTAGATAGAGGCATAGAAACAGTAATCAAGTAACAAGTAAGTACCTGCTGGATACAGGGGATGGTGCTTGGTACTTTAAGGGTACCACGGGTTTAATTTAGCTGTCCGACAAATTATACACTATAATGCCATTTTACAGATGAGGGTCAGAAAAGTTCAACGGCCTAAGATCAGTCAACCAGCAAATTATAGTGGTCAGGCCTGATGCAGATCAGGTCTATCGGGCTCCCCACTCTTTTACCCTATTCTTTCTCACCCTACAATTCACAATTACTCGGACTTGCAACTTGAACTCCACCTCCATTGACATTAGCAGGGTTTAACAGTTGGTGTGCTGGCTGGTGGGGGGGGGGGCAGCTGGAATTACAGAGAAGATAAGATTGGCCACGTGTAGATGACTGCTGACACAATTACCCCACACCATATTGGGGGAGGGTTATCACAAGTTTCTTTGCTTTTTATATATTTGAAATTTGCCATAATAAACGCTGGCTTATAGGAATGTTCATTCTGTAGAGGCTTTCGATAGCCACAAATGCAGGATCCCAACTGGCAATACACACACACACACACACACACACACACACACACACACACACAGCTGAAAACTTCTTCTACAGCAGACAATGCAGATATTAATCAGTTGTCAAGGTGCAAAACCAAGTCCAGAGATCTCGGCGTGCCCCACATACATCAGTGGGAGCAAATGCTCCCTTTCTGTGAATGAATCACAGCATTCAGCTCCACTCTCTGTCATGCTCCTCGCCGTTTGCTCAAGCCCAGCCAAACCAAACGAGGGATCACCAGTGGAGAGAACTGCAAATGTTTGCAAACTGTGAGCAAATGAGGAGAGAGTCCCACATTTAGAGAGACATGAATTATTGTGTGCAGGTATAAATAAACATTGTTCTCTGCTCAGGGTCTGTCAGCACCTCCGTGCTCCACACAAACTCATCCAGAGATAAATGAGCTAGTGTTACTCGTACCTGATGAGCTCCAAAAACCACCTGAAGGGGCACACGCTGTACTTTGCTAAGCTTGTTTGCAAAACTCAGCCCTTGGAATACAGAGCTGCCCACAAAGCACGCAGCCAACTCTGAAATATGTGTTTTTAGGGAGCCATGAGGGCAAAACGGGTGTTCTCTTTTGTTGACCCACGTTCCAGGTCTTGGCAGTGGGCGCTCCGGGAGTCCAGGAGTCCACAATTATTTTCCCCTCTCCCTTGTCCATTTTTTAATTAAGGCATGCTTATTATATGATATGATTTAAAATACAATCAAAAGGAACATTTAAAATTGCCTTAATTCTCCCAACCAGAAGTAACCACTGCTAATTTTGAACACATGCTTCTAGAATTTTTAATGCATGTATAAAGTCTACAGAATTCAAACAGGAACATAGTGTAGGTAACCTGCATTGTTCATTCAAAAAGAGCCTATGAACGTTTTAATGCCCATAAACAGCCTTTACAACGATATTTATAATGTCTGAGCATATGGACATAAAATAATTTATTTAGTCAAGACGTATTATTGGAGATTTACCGGGAACTGAACCTTTGGGCCTCTCTCAAATTTAATTTTTGCTCCTGAAACTGAGCTTGAGTGACTATTTTCATAGACAACTGTTTCTACCAATCCATTGTAAGGATAAATCCTTAAAAGCAGAATGCACAGATTAGAACTTTTGGAGGCTTCTTCTAGAGAGTACACATGATCCTGTTCCTCATCATCCTACATTTAATAGCACTGACTGATAACTATTCTTTTTTTTTTTTAATCTTTGCCAATTCAAAAGATACCTTTGCATTACATCACATTTTTAAATTTGTGCTTCTCTTACATTAATGATACCGAAGTTTTTTTTGTTTGTTTTACTTTTTAAAAATTTTTTAATGTTTATTTGTTTTGAGAGAGACAGAGTGCGAGCAGGGGAGGGGCAGAGAGAGAGGGAGACACAGAATCGGAAGCAGGCTCCAGGCTCTGAGCCGTCAGCACAGAGCCCGACACGGGGCTCAAACTCCCCAGCCGGGAGATCATGACCTGAGCGGAAGTCGGACGCTCAACCAACTGAGCCACCCAGGCACCCCAATGATACTGAAGTTTTTTTATCATATTTATTGAAAAAATGTGTATCTTCCTCTCTGTTCATATGCTTTTGTGCATTTAGTATTCATCTCTAAGGCTGTTCACATCTCAATAGCAGTATTTCCTTGTCTGTCCTGTGCAATGCAATTTTCCCCCATTTTTGACTTGATTTGTTCTTTGGAACACACAAAAGTTTAAGATTTTTAGGTTAAAAAATGCACACACCTTAATCTTTATGGATTCTATGATTTAAGTTGTACATGGACTATCCTTCCCAAGCTTATCTGTTCTTTTATTAACTCATTTAAAATTTTCAATCTATCTGGAATAAACTTTAGAGAGTAGTGTGAGGTATAGACATAACATTTTTTTCTCCCCATGTGATGAGTCAGTGGTTCCTACCCTGTTTTTAGTATAAACACTCTAATTTGTTGTGATGAGCACTGGGTGTTATATACAAGTGTTGAATCACTGTATTGTATACCCGAAACTACTATTACACCATATGTTAATTTCAATTTAGATAAACATTTATGTATATATGTACATATAAAAATAAGAATATATACATATATATGTATATATATGCACTCTTTTCCATACTGATTTAACCTATCGCCCTTATCTAAATATGCTAGATACTTATATAGTCTTTGGTCTGTCCTCATTCTTTTCATTCTGTTTCAGTGGTCTTGGTATCTATTCTTGGGCAAGTACCACCAAGTTATTTTAGCTATTGGTCACTTTCTTTTTTTAAAAAATTTTAAAAATGTTTTATTATTTATTTTTGAGAGAGGCAGAGCATGAGCGGGGGAGGAGCAGAGAGACAGAGAAGGAGACACAGAATTTCAAGCAGGCGAGCCTGACGCGGGGCCCGACCCCACAGACTGCGAGATCATGACCTGATCTGAGGTCTGACGCTCCACCGACTGAGCCACCCAGGTGCCCTGCAATTGGTCACTTTCCAGACGTATTAATACCTTAGTGGAGAGCCCTATCTTATTCTGTTTTGTTTTCCGACTTTTCTTAGCTGTTCTCTCTCATTATTCTTCCTCACTTTGGAATCATTTAGGCACTATGTCTGGGATTACGTTACAGCCATAGATTACGGTGCAGAGAATGAACAGCCTGCGATATTCTCTCTCCTAACACAGAAAGCTGGTGTCTTTTCATGCATTGCAGTTACGTTGGGTGGGGCCATCTGATCAGTTCCGAGCAGTGAGCTGGGAACGTCAGAGACATTTACCACGTATGATCAGAGGGAATTAAGAGCATATGTGAGTCTTTCACATTCTCTTCCTCTGAGGTGGTGACCATAGAGGCCATATCCTGAGAATGGTGGAGTCACAAGGTGGAAACAGCCTGGATTCTTGAAGTCCTGCTTGGAGGACGGTAATTCTGAAGTCACCCAGCCCGCACTAAGCTTGAAGTGAGCAAGACGTAAACCTTTGGTTTGTGTCAAGCCATATAGGTCTGCGGCTTTGTTTATTACCGTAGTATAGTCCCTTAGTAAAGGCTGCACATTTCTTAAGTATTGAGAGGTCTCTTGTTACTGTGATAAGGGAGTCACATTTTCACTTACCGTGATGTTCCTTTCTACCGGACAGGGGACCCATCTGCCTAGCAGGAGAGGAAGGGGACAGATAGATACAAGGCAGGAGCCTAAGAGCTCCTGTTCCTGACTGTAGTTCTAGCTCACACTCGGCCAGGGCTGCAGGGCAATGCTCCAGGGTGGTTCTTCCCAGAGCAGACCCACTTCCTGTCTTAAGACAGCTTTGCTGCTGACCTGCTTTCCTGAGCCCGGGAACTCGTTCCAAGTAGAAAGGCCACCAAATGCTTCAGGCAGCCTCTGTGTCTGTACCTGAGACGCTCAATCCTGGATTGTTTGTCCTGGCTCCCGGCCCCTCTAGCTCTGAGTCCGGGGAGGCGGGCATTGGTTGAATTCTGCTTGGTGGCCCCTCCTCGTTCTCTGTGCGGGAGTCTCAGCCTTTATGTGTCCTGAAATCGCGGACTGATGGGCTCTTGTCACAATCTGGCCTCACCTATGCTCTAAATTTGCAGGAGTTCTTGGAAATTCCAGCCAAGTGGGCACCACCCCCGATTTCACAGGCACACATGTTCTTTTCATAGAGAATGTGGAGGTGTGTGTGTATGGGGAGGGGAGAATTAATTAAATGTGTGAGTGCAAATCGTCATTTTAGACTAGTGGTTCTTTCATGGGTATTTTCAGGAGAACGTGGAAAAACTAAGTGCAAACCCAGATGTCAGTGGAGGGAGCAAGTTATCCCCTCCCCCACCCTCCACCATCCTCTCTGCACGTGCAAGAAAGTAGCACTACCTGGATTTATGTTCCCACTGAAACTTCCCTTAGAAAATGGAAATGATTACGGTCAGTTTCAAATGATATTTTTCCCTCGGATGCATAAATCAGGCTAGCCAGAACTCAGTTGATGTTCTCCTTTGCTTTCCCGCCCCGGTTCCTGCTTTTTCAAACACCCATTCATGAATGAGATCTTATCTGTGGCAAAGGTCTTCGCTAACCCTGGGGTAAAATATATTAAATACGAGTATTTTTTTTTCACAGAGCGAAAACTACTCAACTTAAATGCCTATCAGATTATACCCTTTCTAATATTTTTGGCATGAAAATGATCTATCTCTTATGAAGCAATCTTAACGTACCCTGGATGGTAGTTTGATTTGTTTTAAAACGCCTTCACGGAGTTGTGGGCAATGCTGTGTTTGGTTTCTACATGATTTTTGAAATTTTTTGTGGTCTATACAATCCCAGACCCTAGGAACCACTGGAATGCATCTTCAAATAGTTGCTCAACAAGTGGAATATTTTCGGAGCCTTTGCATTTCTGAGAATGCCCGCCTGTCCCACCGAAAGACGAATTGTTGGGTATAAAGTTCTTAGCTCATAACTTTCCCTACCTCAAAACCCCGTGGAGTCATTTGGCATCTAACTGCTGCAGAGGAAATGTCTGAGATCAACCTCTTGTAAATAAATTTTTACTGAATAGTTGCAAGACTTTTTTTTTTTTTTTCACTTACACCTTCCTGTTTCTCGAGGCATTGCTGTACGATTTCCCCAGTGCCTTCACTGAGATGGCACATGTGGTGGCTGATGGCCAAAGGGAGAGATTCTAGAATCACCTAACTTCGAATCTAGTTCCATGCTTCACCAGCCACTGTACCCTTGGGTGGTGTTAGAGGTCACACTGTGTCCGCCAAAATGAGATGCTCAAGTCCTATCCCCCAGGGACCCATGAACGTGACTTTAGTCAGAAGTAGGGTCTTTGCGCATGTAATCGAATGAAAAGGAGGTCGTTAGGGTGGGCCCTAGTTCAGTGACTCATGTCCGTATTAAAGGGAGGTTGGGACACACACACACACACACACACACACACACACACACACACGCCCCAAACACCTCATGAAGACACAGACACAGAAGGAAGATGGCCATTGAAGACAGAGGCAGAGGTTGGAGCTCTGCGGCCCTAAGCCAAGAAATGAAAGGCAAGGAAAGTCCCTCCCATAAAGGCTTCAGAAGGAACACGACCCTGCTGACATCTTGATTTCAAATTTCCAGGGGAGACAACCATTGTTTTAAGCCAACCAGCGTGTGGTCCTCTGTTACGGAAGCTCTAGGAAACAAATGTGGATTTCTCAAAGACTATGCACTTCAATTACTTTACCTATAAAAGGTGGATAATAACTTGTGATAAGACTATAGGGAAGGCGAAATGTGATAAGATAGCAGAAGCTACTAAGTTCTGGCAGGCAGAAAGAATCTAATGAATAGGTTGTACCATCAAGGTGTCCCTTCTCCACCCTCCCATCACCTTCTTTGGGTAGCTCTCTCTCCTGGAAACGTTTTTTTTCTGCACTCTTGACGTGTTTTTTTTTTTATACAAAGCTTATATGGTTTTCATAAAATAATGAAGTCATTTGCCTTAACTGTGGAATTCCTGGGCCACCCCCAAAGATTTTTGGTTCAGTAGGTCTTAGGTAGACCTCCAGAATGAGTATTACTTGGGGGTGTCCAGACATGAACTCTCATTAAATACGGAAAGTGCAATGTAACTTAAGTGGCAGACCTGGTATTAGGATTCCTGTTCTATAAATATGGAAAACTGAGGTCAAAGGAAATTTAACCCAAGTCAGAAAATGTAAAATCAAGTAGTTGTGTTTTTTTTTTTTTTTGAGGCTGAACTTCAAGAACTTCACTAGTTGGATGAAATGTGAAACTCTAGACTGGTATGAAAAAATGCCAGATAATGAGGGCTCCATAATACATAAAATATGGGAGACGATCCAGTATTAGGATTAAGAACACATGGAATCGGAAAGCTTTAAATTCTACTTGTGGTGCTTACTTTCTAGCCGTGTGAACTGGAGAAAACTATTTAGCCTTTGATGGTTTCAAACTCTTCTCATCTGAAAACGGAAACAACCCCTATCGAGGTTCTTGCGGAAGTGACTTGAGACGCCACGACAAGGCATTTAATACCAAGTAAGTGCTAGATAAGTGACATTATTTTTGTACACACGCATTGTTTTTGATTTCAAAAAAGGGACCAACATGTTCACTCTCTGCTCTTGACTGGCCTTGAATAAATGCAGGGAGAAAGGAAGTCCAGAGGTGAGAATTAGGACCTAATTTTAGAAAAGATGTGATGTCCATGCTTTCCTAGGAGCTTATAAATGAGTATTGTTGTGAGAATAACTTCTCTGGGATTCTTCTGATTAACCTGCCTTATTAATTTGTCTCCTTGTACCTTCGAATTCTCTTATTTTTATAATATTGACGGCTCACTTGCCAAAATACCTCAGAACCACTTTTAAGAGTTCCCAGTAGCTAATAGAAAATGCGTGCTTGAGGATGCTCTTTTTGGGTTATGATTTTCTCAAGGCAGAGCGCCCAATAGGCCTTGCCTCCTGCCGTGCACGAACATTTCATCCTATTTTTCCACTCGGCCCCAGGATGCCGTGGAGGGGACCAGGAAAGGAATGCTTTCCTGGTGTGGGGAAGCAGGACAGTTTGATGTCATCAGAGGAGTTGGGCACACAGAAAATAGCAAGCAAAAGGACAGGAAGCTAATGTGCACAAAACTGCTTCTTTTATTTTTGTGTTACCTAAACCACTGTGGATTTCTGTATCGTATTAGAAACAGCCACCACGTTCAAATTTATTTTTGTGGAATGTGACCTGCTTTTCGGGTGTCTGACAATGATTCCAGGTGTTTCTCTGCATCCTCTGTCCTCAACAAGCTTTGAGGCCAGGTTGCTGGGCTCCCCTGTCCTACTTGTGGAACTGATCAATCATCCAGGATGCAAGGAACAGGAAACTACACGCTAGCTTAAGCATAAAAACACGCCTGGAGAAAGAAGTCTGCAGACAGACCTTACAGCCTTGCTGCAGTGACTCAACAATTTCATCCAGAAACTGGGCTCTATTCTCTCTCTTACACCCTGCCGACCTCTGCTGGTCTCTTCTTAGTCGCAATATGGCTGCCTTGGCTCCGGGAATCACACTCTTCAGCCCTGCTTCCTGAGTATAAAATGGAAAGATCAAGAAAGCACCTTCTTCTGCATGCCTGCCTTTTTTTTTTTTTTTTTTTTTTTTTTTTTTAAGCAGTAAACAGAATTATTTCCAGAAACCTTGCAGGCAGGTTTCTCCTATTTCTTTAGCCAGGCTGTGTAACGTGGCCATCTCTGGAGGGAAGAAACTCTGGGAAATGCGAATGAGGTAAATCTGATTGACCTAAGGCGATCATGATTCACCTCCTGGGGCTGGGCACACTGTTTCCCTCAACAAAATGAGGCCACCATTAAAGAAGGCAGAAGGCCGTGGCAGTGAGTAGAATTTCCTATAGTACATCTTCCTGTTTGTTTTTTTTCCCCTTTTTCTGCACTGTGGAGCGGCACTTTTCCACTCCCGGTATACCAAGATACCACGTGTGGAACCAAGCCCCGGGGAGCTGAGGGGGAAAAGAACAGCCGGCAGGTTACAGCTGAGGTGTCCTATCTGATTGGCATGATCTTGGCCTCGATCAGATCCTGATGTGGTCAGTTACCCTGGAGGAACTATCAGCAGATGTGGGGGACTGATGTGAGCTGTTCGAAGCTCACAGGAGGCTGTTCTTTAAGCTCTAATCCGTACAGGGAGGGGAGGACATCTGTTCCGACAAGAACTCTGGGGGGTTTATCTGCCCTGGCTCCAAATCTAGCTTGTGTCCCCGTGCCTCAGCCCTGCTGCAGCTGGGAGCCGGCACGCCCCACACCTGCGGGCTCACGGCGTGGCTTTGCCAATAAGGGGCAGCAGTGCTGCGCGGCTGGGACTGGGAGAAGGGGCCCCCTCTTCCCACCTGCTGCTGGGCTGCCTGCAGCTCGGGTGCCTCTCCCTCCCACGCCTATCCTCGCCAGCAGTAGACAGGCCTGGTGTGTGGCTTCTCTGACACTTCAAGAACCAGCCAGGTCAGGTCCCCCTTGGAGACCCGAGCAGCCCTGTTCCCCTAAGTCTCTAAACCGTAACAATCCTGACCTCTCCCTTTTCTTCTCCCAGCCAGACAGGTGATACCTGCTTCCGGCAGGTGCTACCTCTCCGACGCCTCACAGATCCCTCTTTACCCTCCCGATTGCTCAGTCACCAATTCTGTACATGTGCATCTGTATGTTAAATTTCCTGTTCAAAGGATGGGTGTGAGTCCTCTCTCCTGACCGGCCCTGACTCAGTAGGGCTGTCCTGAAGAGACAGACAGCCAGGGGCAGAATCCTGAGATAGCCACACCTCCTCACACCTGAGTTGTCTCCTGTTGTAGCAGATTACCTTTCCTAAGCCTCCAAGAGAGGATAAAGGCTGATAAAAGCTACTGTTCATTATTATTTTTAAGCAATTTTTACATGTTCATTTATTTAAAGTTAAAAAAACATTTTTTTTTGAGAGTGAGCAAGCATGAGTGGGGGAGGGGCAGAGAGAGACAGGGAGACAGAGAATCTGAAGCAGGCTCCAGGCTCCAAGCTGTCAGCACAGAGCCTGATGCGGGGCTCGAACTCACGAACTGCAGAGATCACCACCTGAGCCGAAGGTGGACACTTAACTGACTAAGCCACCCAGGTGCCCCTAATGTTTGTTTATTTTTGAGAGAGACAGAGAGGGAGACGCAGAATCCGAAGCAGGCTCCAGGCTCTGAGCTGTCAGCACGGAGCCCGACGCGGGGCTCGAACCCACAAACTGTGAGATCATGACCTAAACTAAAAGTCGGACACTTAACTGACTGAGCCACCCAGGCACCCCAAGCCACTGTTTATTATTGAGTAAGGCTCTGGACACACACAGTTATGGGGAAACCCTAACTCTGGTGAGCAGCACCAGACCAGGTGGGAGCCCAGATGACTAGAACGAGTCTGAGTCCCTTTCAAAGCAGGAGAGCTGTCTCAGGCAAGGAATACACCTAGGCCTGTCTCGTCCTCCAAGATCATGGGATCAGAAGAACCATCAAAGGTGACAGGGAGTGGTAGTATATTCCAAGAGAAGAAAACCGAAGACCAGAAATCTCAAAAGACTGAACCCAAGGAGAAGACGTGAAGACAAAACCCAGTCTTTTAATCTCTTTGACCATCCTTCCAAAAGCTCGACTCTCAGCAGCATGCCAGGTAACATCCACACCTTCCAGCATTTCATTAGTGAAGACATTACAGGTGGAGTAAAGGGCAAGAATGACAATAGACAAGTAAAACCCTGGATTGCAAGTAACTTGTTCTGCGAGTGTTCTGCAAGAGGAGCAAACACGTCTAATAAGTTTTAACTTGATAAATGAGCGATGTCTTGCAATGTGAGCCGTATCTGACACTGAATGTCACCTGATCGCCACTGAGCCAAAGGTTGTTGAAATTCGCTTTGATATACGAGTGCTTTGGATGGCAAGCATGTGTCTGGAACAAATCATGCTTGCACACCAAGGTTTTATTTCTAATGAGATGAAAAAATGTTGACCTGCACGTCTAGAGAGGAAGTTCTCTCACTTAGAGTAAATTAACCTCCCTAGACCTCACTTTCCAAATCTATGAATTGGAAAGGTCGAGCTACACAGATGTTCGAGGCCTACCTACTCCCTGCAAGTCCTATCGACCTACATTGAAAACACATTGCAAAGGGCAGGGGTTCGTATATGTCTTTTCCCAAAGAAACCTGTCCAGGAAAAAGAAGTCTAATGAAACAAGATGGTTCCAAATCAGGAAGTCTGATTCACCTAAGACTAAGTAAAAATCGTCAGTACAAATATGTTGCAATCTCCTAAACTGTGTGTGTGTGTGTGTGTGTGTGTGTGTGTGTGTGTAAGGCTACCATTTTCCAAGTTTTCATGGTATTTCACAAAATGGGTTGCATTCAAAATGTTTAGAAACAACAGGGTTCAACAAAATTGTGGCAGACTTCTAGATGCTTACCCCAAATCCACTTCCTACTTCTTCCTCAGTTTTAATGTCACTTTAATATGATTTGTGACAGCAAGATGGCTAGGTCCACAGTGATGAACTGTGACTGGCATAATTAAGCTAGTCACAGCTTCCCTTGCAGCTATGGGCATTATATGCAGCCACGGAACCCTGTTCTTTCCAGAAGTACCTCCAAGGATGACTTTTCAGGAAGAATATGCTTTGAGACTATTGACGTGGGCTAACTTAATCACCATCACAAGACAGGGGAATGTTCTTCCTGACCGATCACGCCAGGAAGTATTCATCATTTGCGCATTTCTCACATTTCACTCTGGTTTCTCCCAATAAGTAAGAACCTATGCATTAATTCATGTACTTAATCATACCTTGCCCCCGTTTTTAGAAAGGATTGACAACGAAGGAAAAATGTGTTGCCCAAAAAGGTACATGTCTATTAAACGCTTCGATTATCATAAGCCAAGAGCACTTGGGAATTCCAATTTTCTGAGTGTATGAAATATAACGTTCATGTTAACCAATCTTTTAGACATAGCTGTGTCATCGAGTGAAAAAAAAAAAAAGAGGCTGAAACGAAGTAATTCTCGGTTTTGTGTACGAAAATCACCTGTAGGTGCTTAAAAAGAAAATTACAGGTCTCGTCCTTCCATTCCACACCCTTTCTGATTTAATTGGTCTGGAAGTGGGTCAGGCATCCGTAATTTTTAAAGCCCTTTGGGTGACTGTGACGGACAGCCAAGGTTGAAACAGAGTGCTTTATAAATCTCAGAAGCTGTGACATTTCAAGATGCTTGGTGAATAAGGTTGTATGGCATGGTGGAAATAACACTGTAGCAGGTGTCAGGGGTTCCAGTCTTGGTTCTGGAACTCAGTAGCTCGGTGACTGTGGGAAGATGACTTAAAACCCTGAGCCTTAAAATGCTATGGATATAAACGTCAAATGTTTATAAAAGCGTATGATAAAGTATAAGGAGTGTGAAAACTTTTAAGATAGTATTAGATACTGTTTTTCTCTTTATGGAGTGTTCTTTCCCTTGCATGCAGGAAAAAATCTGTTCCTCTAACTAAGTAGAGTTCAAATCTCTGAGGCCTTCCCTGACCCAATTAGAATTGCTATCTCATCTGTATTTCTGCAACATCTTCTAAATTACCCCATCACACTGAGCCCGTTAACTGACACCCTCTCGCACCCCCACTGGTACAGGGCAAGCTTCTACAGCTCAGAAGAATCGTATTTTCAGTATCCTGCGTCTAGCAATATTAGCTACCATGGAAGACAGCCAGAAATTGCCCTTATGGAACCCAGCTCCCTATTTCTCTCCTCTTTTTCAAAAGCTGAATCTGTTTTCTTCAGTCCTTTTACTTGGGGAACTCCAACATTAAGGGAAAAAAAATAAGAGAACCCCAGAGGAAGGGAGGGCTTCTAAGATCTGCTCTGGTAATCACAACACCAATGGTCATTATTAGAACCTATCCGTAGTGGGCGTCTGTTTCCCCCTTAGAAAGACGTAATATTTAATTCTTGGGACCCTCTTACGAAATATATGTTATTACTCCTAAGTGAGGTTCAGAGGGCTTCTGTAATTTGCTCCAGCGGGTCAGAAGCGCAGGAGGTGAAGTGAGGACGCGAATGCAGCCCTCCCACCGGAGCCCGAGGTCAAGTCCCACACGCACCTTCTACATCCTGAGATGCTCTGGTGATTGCATTCCCTGGTGTGGCTCAGGTCCGACAAGCAACCTTGAGTTCACCGGTCTTCCCACTTGGTAGCTAACACGGTAAGGCTGCAACTGGTCAGATTGGAAGGCGGAGGCATCGTTCCAAGAACCAGTTCCTCTTGACGGTACAGTCAGCAAGAAGCATCCCAAACGTGACTTTGAAGCGTGCGGTGTCCAGCCCGGCCCATCGCACGAGGCCCTGGGATCCGGCCAGAAAACGCCTGGAAACCTCTGGAAACAAAGGTGCGGGGCCGCCGTCCTCTCCTCCCCGGAAGCCTTGGCCGTTCCGTGTTCCTCGCGTTTCTCGAAAGGACCTCAGGCCTCCGACCTCCCAACTCTACACGCTCCCGCCCAACCGGCGAAATCACCTGCAGCCACGGCCCTGTCTCGCCGCGTCCCGCCCTCCGGAAGTGACGCACAGGAAGCGGCTCTCCTCCCACGGGGGCGGGGAAGGAAGATGGCGGCGCCCAGCAGCCGGTGAGGAGAGAGGACACGGGGGACCCCGGGGAGCGGCCGGACTCGTGCGGTATGGCCGCATCCCCGCACACTTTCTCCTCACGCCTCCTGACAGGTACGGCGCCCGCCCTTGGCCGCGACTGTGGGAAAATTCTCATCTTTTTGCCACGTGCAGCGCCGCGGTTCCGGCCGGCTGCAACCTTGGGAGCCCTTGGCGAGGTCGGCTGGGTACCGGTGGGGGGAAGTGAGCTTTGGAGCAGCCTGCAGTGAAGAGGCCGGGGAGCGAGGGTCCAGCGTCGTGCTGTGGCCCCAGGGGTCCACGCCGCCTCCGTCCCCCTCCCCCGGGGGGCTGGTGTCTGGGGCTGCTTTCGGTTTTCCGAGCGGAGGCTGCGCGGGAGGACGGAGGAGAACCTTGGGGCCGCACGAGCCTCCTGGCTGCTCAGAGCCTCCGTTCCTAGTTGCAAGTGTGACTTGTCAGCTCCCCTGGTGAGGACGGGCGAGCGCCTTGCCGTCGTTCGGAAGCCTTGTTCCCATAGAAAGGGTTGTGATGACAGCGAAGATAACGTTGTCGGGATGAAGTGACACAGATGGTGACAACCACGGAGGGCGGAGCACCGCCCCGCTCAAACTTTTGGCCTTCCACCATCGGCGGTGGCCCCTGATGGCCATCCTCCCACTTGAAAGACCTGTAACAATTCTATGTTGAAGGCGGTCTGCGCCCCCGTGGCCCTTTGCCCCGTCTGGGCTCAAGTGCCACCTTTTCAGAGATGCCTACCCCGACCACCCTGTTTAAGGTAGGGCCGGCGCGGGCCCGCCCCTCTCTTCTCACATCCCTCCTATTGCTCTCCCCACGGTTAGCACAATCTGTAATTGTTGATTTACATACAGGCTTATTGTGTGTTTCTCCCAACTAGACTGTTAACCCTGTGAAAGTTAGGGACAGTTTCTCTTCTGGCTCATCTGTGGGCCCCCAGGGCCCAGAACAGTCCCCCGTGTGTATTGTTGGCGCTCAGTATTTGTCAATGCGTGGTGTTTGTTCATTCGTTATGGAGATACTAAAGAACTGTTTTGTTTGTTTTTATTTTTTTTAACGTTTATTTATTTTTGAGACAGAGAAAGACAGAGCATGAACAGGGGAGGGGCAGAGAGAGAGGGAGACACAGAATATGAAACAGGCTCCAGGCTCTGAGCTGTCAGCCCAGAGCCCGACACGGGGCTCGAACTCACGGACCCTGAGATCATGACCTGAGCCGAAGTCGGACGCTTAACCGACCGAGCCACCCAGGCGCCCCACTAAAGAACTGTTAAAGAGGAGGCTGGGAACTGTTTTGTACCCCCCCCCCCCCCCCCCAGTAGTTTTGATGAGAACCAACGGCTGAGGAATGTGTTGTTCGAGGTCCGTATTGGAGGTAGGTAGGAGAGGCCGGGGACTCCCTTCTGGTCAAATCCCAGAACCGTTTTTTAGGCGTCACCTGTCACAAGCTCCCTGCAGCACCCAGCAATGTGGAGCACAGCAGCTCTATGAAATTCCTTTCTTTGTCTTGATAAAATAACAAACACTGACTTGAAATATTACACGTTAAAATAACCAGGTTATTTTATGGGTCTCTCTTGGCTGTGTAATCTCGGGGCATATCATTTGTGTTCTCTGGAATTGAGTTTACACATCTATAAAACGAGGGAGGCAGTTGGACCAGATGATCTCAAAGGTCCCTTCTGGTTCAGAAAGAAGGAAGGAGGCGGGGGGAAGCGAGAGGAAGTATAGACGAAACCAGATGGGCCATGGTTGTAGTAATTGTTAAAGCTGGGGAGTACGTAGTGGGAGCTCACTGTGTTCTTACGTAATTGCGTGTGATGGAAATTTTTCATAATGAAAAGTTTTCTTACAAGGTCTGTGATTCTTTTTTCTGTCCTCCCTGACCGTGAGCGTTCTTTGATCCTGACCCCAGGCCCTCATTCTCCGAGAGCTCCTCCTTTCCGCGTGTTTGAATTGTCACCTCTGCACGGAGGTTTTCCAGTGTGCATTCCTCCGACTGGCTGCTTCTCTGCCTGTCAGTTCTGTACTTTCCGCTTCTTAGAGAACAAGCTCCCTTAACCGCTCAGAGCTCCCCAGTTCCCGTAAGTGGGCCGCGTGTGGTTCCCATGCTTTGTTTCTGGCTCAGTCTTTTCAAAGCTGGTATGAGAGGAATTAATAGACAGTTTAGCTTCCTGAGCCCGTGAACACAGTTGCCAGAAAATCTGCCAGGAAGAAGTATACAACCTGCTAATGTTCCAGTTGGAAGGTCGTTACGAGAGCCTGATACATGGAAGCAATGTGGTTGGAAAGGGTGGCAGAAAGGTAGAGTGGGATTATATTAGGCATCTAATGGTTATGTCTGCTTTTGCTTCTGAAAATTCAAAGTGTTTTGTAGCCATTACAAGAAATTCAGGACCTTTCAGTTATGCGTGTGTGTGCACCACATTTTAAAAGCTCTACCATCATGGGGGTGCCTGGGTGACTCAGTCGGTTGGGTGTCTGACTCTTGATTTTAGCTAAGGTCATGATCTCACGGTTATGGGATCGAGCCCGGTGTCAGGTTCTGTGCTGAACGCGGAGCCTGCTTAAGGTTCTCTCTCTCCACCACCCCACCCCCAGCCTCGTGCGCGCACGGACCTGCTCTCTCTCTCTCTCTCCCTCTCCCCCTCCCCACAAAAATAAAAGCTCTACCGTCGTGACTCAGTATTGGTGTGAATAGTGGATATGGGCACGTCTTTGCAGATTTTTAATGTTAAGTATCGTAAGCTCTGTGGGCCTTCAAACCTATATTTGCTTAAGTAGGGCTGAAATGTCTTTCAGTCTCTAGGCACTGATGCATAGAAATACAACACGTTTTGACCGAATGAAGTGTTTTCATCGTTTAAATGTGAGGTTTCCTAGCTGTTTTTTTTTTTTTTCTTACTACTATTCTGGAAAATCTAGGTTTGACACACTTAACCTTGAGAGATATTTTCCAGGATGGTTCTTTCCTTCCCAGCAACTTGTACTTCTCATTGGACCAAATGACCTCAGAACTGGTTTTAAAATCCTATCTTTCCGGGGCGCCTGGGTGGCTCAGTCGGTTAAGTGTCTGACTTCAGCTCAGGTCATGATCTCATGGTTCGTGAGTTCGAGCCCCGTGTCGGGCTCTGTGCTGACAGCTCAGAGCCTGGAGCCTCCTTCTGATTCTGTGTCTCCCTCGCTCTCTGCCCCTCCCCCGCTCCTGCTCTGTCTCTGTGTCTCTCTCTCAAAAATAAACATTAAAAAAATTTTTTTAAGTCCTTTATCTTCCCAAAGAACAGTATCAAGGCAATAAAAGGAAAATTATACACCATGCAATTAAAAAACAAAAAACGAGCCCTTGACTATCAGAGGACTCATTTGAAAGGAAATTTCAGAGGACTGATTTCAGTGTCGCTCTCCCTCTCCTGTGCGCATTTGCAGGCAACACACACTCACACGTATGGGAAATAAGTATTTCATAATTCACTGAGGTCGGAGAGTCTGATTTCAGTGAAGAAATGACATCTCCAGTCTAAGATAATTGCCATGTGTTCTGAGGGGCAGTGATGCTGCTACCCACAGTCCCCGTAGGTCACGTAGGAAATCCAGTCATCAGACGTTATCTCGTCATTGTATCGAGAGCACTCTGCTGAGCTCTTGGAGCAGAGGTGAGTAAAGGGGAACCCCCAAATAAGATGGCGGAGACACATGGAAAGTTTCCGGTAAGAAGCGCCACTGAAAAGAGTTTAATGTGCCAGAGTAGTCGAAAAGAGGCTCTGAAAATTTGACAGGCAGAGAGCAGAGGCAAGACACCAAAAGCAGGGAAACATCGACAAAGATGGACAAATTGTGAAATGTGTGGTGTGCCTAGAGGAGAGTAAGGACTTACACACACACGTCTAGGCCAATAAGGTCTGTCCTGGGCTTCCAGAAGAAACCCTATCTGTTACAACCCATCCATGTCGAGATACTGAGACAGCAGTGGGAAGAGGCATGAGGACCCTAGAAATGAGTTGAAGATTAGAAGTTACCCTAGAACTGCGTTTGTTCAGGGACAATACGCAGTGGGGCACGGTTGTCTTGAATTGGCCACCCACAGCAAGACGCGATGGCACAAAAAGCTGAGAAGCAGTGAGTGCAGGTGGGGGAGAACCAGAAATATTTAGTGTCGTGGAAGTGATAAAACCCTCCCCTTCCATGGCCTTACACAGAAGCCTTGGATTTGTTATTTGGGAGGAGGTATGGTTTGATTAAAAGCCAAATTCAGACACAGCTGTTTTGCTTTTTTTTTTAATTAAAAAAAATTTTTTTTAATGTTTATTTATTTTTGAGAGGGAGAAAAACAGAGTGTGAGCGGGGAGGGACAGAGAGAGAGGGAGACACAGAACCTGAAACAGGCTCCAGGCTCCAAGCTGTCAGCACAGAGCCCGATGCGGGGCTCGAACCCACAAACTGTGAGATCGTGACCTGAACCGAAGTCAGACACTCAACCAACTGAGCCAGCCAGGCGCCCCTGGTTTGCTTCTTTCTGACATGATTGATAGGCCCCATTTCACTGAGGACTGTTTCACCTTCCTTTTGGTTATTCGTTTTCCCCAATGTGGCCAAAATATTAATCTGAAATGTATTTACCAGTTTATTGTTACTGAGAAAAACTGTCTCTCATTTTCTGCCATTTTAAAACATGGTCTTTGAAGTTTACTTATTTTGAGAGGAAGGGGGAGAGAGAGAATCGCAAGCAGGCTCTGCACTGTCAGCACAGAGCCTAACGCGGGGCTTGATCCACGAACTGTGAGATCCTGACCTGAGCCGAGATCAAGAGTCGGACATTTAACCAACTGAACTACCCAGGTGCCTCTGTTTTAAAAGTGACTGACTTGTTTATTTCTATTTTCTCAAAAAGATCAACAGTGCGGGCATTTCAGCATTTAATATACTAAAAGCGTAATGATCCCCAAATGGAAAATTTCCCGTCCCTGCTGAAGAATTATGCTGCCTTGGTGAACCACTGCAGTGATTCACAAACCCTATCAGAGGTCTGACCCGTCACGCAAGCGTTGCTTACCACGGTGGCCGGCTTGGCTTCCGGGTAGGTGCCGTCAGCACTTGGTGAGGAGCACTAATCATGGAAGCGTTGTTTTCCCTTTTTCTGTGTTACAGGTTGGGTGGGAGGATGTGTCTGGTATCTGGAAGGAAGAGCTATGCAGGAATCCCCTCGCGAGTTCATCCGTCTTTTCAGGAGCATCCGTAAGCAGTGGATGACATTTCAACACTTTACCTTCCTCAGGCGCATGGTATGTTCAGAAGCACACCCCCCACTCTGCTGCTAGTTGCATTTTCTTTCTTTGTAGGAGGACATTTGAGACATTCCTGTTATCAGAAGAGCCGTAAGAAGTGCTGCTTGAAAAAGATTTTTATTTAGTGTCCTCTCGAGTTTATCCAAAACTTGAATTCCTCGTTTTGATTATTAATTGAAACCAGAATCACCCTGGTGTCCGAGGCTAAAAGTATGATCATGAACTTATTGATAAAGTTTGGAGAAAGATTGGAAACTTCTGGCATATTTCACCTAGGGCAAAATTAGGAAAAGCTGAACCATTATCACACATCTCTTTAAATTCTTTAAGGTTCTGTGAATGTATCAGTAACGTAGAAATAATTTCTTTACCAGTGTGACCTGTGTTCCCGCATCAGCCTTGCATCCAAAAGTCTTTGAAACGCAGGCACTTCTGAGTAGACTCAAGCAGACTGAGATCTTGTCATTTGCTAGGGACTTTATAGTGAGCTTTGCTCATACATCTCGGGCCTCTGGGTTGGTTCCATGATCTCATGGGCCACAGGGTAACTTACTCCTAATTACCAGTGAGGACATCTGCCATTTTCTCAAATAGAAAAGTACAGAATGGAGAAATGAGAGCTGAAAACTCATAATTATGACACAGGTATGAACAGTTAGCAAATTTATCCTCTATAGTCTGATTTGATACTTCTCTCATCTTTTTTAACTTAGAAGGGCCACCTTAAAACTTAAAAGTAACAAAATCTTAATGAAACGTTATTTTGATAAGAGATTTACATTTCCAGAGATGTTTAGATTTCTTAGGTTGGGGATCAAGGATAATGGATATTTAGAAGCATGTATATAATGCCTTTTTTTATATAAACACAACTCTGGTTCATTCACGAGTTTTCATTCCTTTCTAGGACTAGTGTATGTCATTTCAAGTCTTTGTGACGTAACTGAAAATCACTTAACTGGTTATCAGAATAGGTGGGTCCAGGTACCAGGGACACATACAACTAACTCGCCATTGACTCTGTCACTTTATTTCTGAGCTTTGGTTTTCTCTTCTGTAAGTTAAAGAAAGAGATAATAATGATCATGATCCATTTTCTTTTTTTTTTTTCTTTTTTTAAATTTAATTTTGAGAGAGGAGAGAGAGAGAGAGACAGTGCAAGTCGGGGAGGGGCAGAGAGAGAGGGAAACATAGAGTCAGGCTCCAGGCTCTGAGCTGTTAGCACAGAGACCGATGTGGGGCTCGAACTCATGAACTGCAAGATTACCATCTGAGCTGAAGTCAGACGCTTAACCAACTGTGCCACCCAGGCGCCCCAGTGATCCTTTTTCTTAAATAGCCTTTTGGAAGCTTAAATAAGATACACAATTTATAAACTGTAAAGATATGTATTCTGTAAAACCAGAAAGGGCCCTATTATGTTAGTAGTTATTACTTTTCACTGGTAAGCAGGAGAGATTGTTGGACTCTACAACTCGTGTTCTTCCCACATACACAGCGCTTTAATGTCACTTAGTCCTGAAATCTACCCCACCGCTGAGCCCCTCTCTGTTTGCCTATGAACATTGAAAGTCGACAGTAGGTTTGACTTGGGCTCTCAATGATAGAAAACGTTTTCACCGTATTGGACGTTTAACCTCCAGCTTGTGGTACTGTGTTGAGGAAAATGCTGGAGGGTATGAATAAGAAATAAATTTTTCTTTCAAGGAACTTAAATTTGTAGGACTCTCTAAACCATAGAATTAAAAATCGCTGCTGAGGCATTATAGTCCCTGTACCTCTTAGCATGGAGATTTCCTTGTAGAAGACATTCTAGCATTCATTGATTCAGCATACGTTTACAACGGTTGAGGAAAATCTCTCAAGTCCAGTATCAGACTGACGGACGGTGTTACTAAACAGCCGTCTAAGAGCCTTTGGAGCCTTGGGTTGATAGTAACGTGTACTTTTTTTATTTAGTATGTCACACAACTGAACAGAAGCCTCAACCAGCAAGTCAAACGGAAGCCAGAACCCACGGTGTCCCCTTTCCTTGAGAGAAGCTCTTTGGCTCAGACCAAAGCAGAGACCTGTGCAATGAGACCTCTTCCACCCCCCCACCTACCTTTATCCAGAAAGCCCAATGATAAAGAACTGCTGGAACTGGAATCGGCCTCCGTAATTGAGGGCTCACTCGATGTGGGAAGAGAGACCAAGGATGAAAAGCAGTGGAAAGAGATGAAACTCCATCTGGATGATTTGCCAGGAATCTTGGCTCGGCTGTCCAAAATCAAACTCACAGGTACATTGCTTTTCCCGTATCGTCACATTCTTGCTTAAAGCCTTACTTGTGGTCAGATGCCGCCGCCCCCAAAGGAATATCTTCAAACTGCTGATCCTCCATTGGTGGTTTTTGCTCTCTTCAGCGTAATTGAGATTTAAAACCAAGTTTTCCAAACTCCGTTTACACGGAACTGTAAATGGTTTTGCACCAAACGCGTGGTACTAAAACTAGTCTCTCTCTTACTTGCAATTAAAGTACAATGCCTGTCCTGCATATTTCTCATCTTTTGCGTTTTTACACCTGCTGTCCTTTAAAGCTGCAGTGGGATAATGAGTTCTGGTTGAGGCCTGGAAACGAAAATGCCTGCACGCCTGTGCTTGGTACGCAGCACACCTGCGGTGGCCACCAGGACTCCGAGCTCACTTCTGGGTTTTGCTTCTTGTAGGGCCTCTGGGATTGTCCCAGGCATGCGGAGATTTAGCGCGCTTCTCTGAGAAACAGGTCTGGAACCAGATTTTCGTTGCCTGAGTCTAGCAAACTGTACCAAATTTTACCATACGCCTTGGGTATTAACCCGTAATCGTGTCAGTTGGTTGTCAACAGCCACCAGTGAGTCAGGCGAAGCTTCATTGTTGGCATCCCGTCTCGTAGCTAAGCGTAAAAGTAGCTTATTGTGGGCTAATCCTGTGTAGAAGGTGGGGTCTGGGTCATCCTGCAGCTTGAAGACACGGTCTCTCCTCTTCTTGGACGAGCATAGGGAGAAGTATAACGGGCGAAACATAAAGTTAAACCAGGTACTCTTTGAGGAGAGAAGTGGGAAGTAATGTTAACGGAGTCAAAATGGAGAAACGAACAGATGAGACAGAGAGGCTTTTGAGAGTAGAGAAAACCAGGGAAAGCGAGGTGGTGGTGGTGTGTGTGTTTCAGGAGAGTTGAGCCTGAAATCCAAGGTGAAAGGAGGCAAACTTCTTTCCTCAGTGACCGAGGTCACTTAAAGAAAATCCTTTTTTTTTGGGGGGGGGGGGGTGCGGGATGGAAAGTAGGCATAGGAGTTTGATGGGAAGAGCTGAAGAGTCACCATAAGACTTACCCAGTGTAGCTCTAAAGCAGTGAGACTGATTCCAGGGGCCTCCTCGCAAACATGCCTTAGTGCTTTCCAGAAGCTGAGCAAGGAATCGTCACATTTCACCGAAGGTTGCTTTTGTCATTTATATAAGTGGCGTATCGGTGCTGCCATGGTAAGAATGACTCCCGAAAGCGATCATGAGGATGTCACCCCAAAAATGCGTCCTCCCAGTCTGAAGGCAGCGGAACTGACCTCCGCCACCAGCAAGAACTTCTTGCGTTGTGTGCACCATCGCTGAACGTGCCCACATCAGTATCCCCCTCTCATCCTGCAAATCACTTCTCTCTCTCTCTCTCTCTCTCTCTCTCTGTCCCATTTCTGGCAGTAATAGCAGCATTCTTTGCTTCCCCCAGACCGGAAACCTTAGAATCGTTCTTGAGTCTTTGCTGCACAATCTCCCTTCATCTCTAGTCTGACATCCAACTGTTAGCATAGGAGTCTTTTGTAACGCCCGTGAGATTTCTCATCCGATTTTCTGAAGCTGCCACCCTAGCTGAGGTCCAAAACATAAGATGTCTGCGGTTACTGCAGGAGCTCCTGGCTGTGATCTCTGCCTCTCTTCTTCTGCCAGACCCACTTTCCTAAAACACTGCCCTCGTGTATTCCTGTCCTACCCAAGAGCCTGCAGTCCTTCCATATGGCCTCCCGCCTCAGCTCTGCCAGACCTGAGAGGAATGATGAAACTCTTCCCCATAAGCAGACTTTTTCCCCCCAGCCTGTCCTGCCCGTTAACTGGTCATTATACCCACCATACCCGTTCCTCCTGCCCTTCTTGTATCCAGTTAGCACCTTTCAAGGCTTTTCCATTAAGCCTTGTCTTGCCTGCTCTTGGCCCGAGTCTCCCTTCTCAAAACTTGGAATATGGCTTTGAAGTCCAGCAGAGTGGAGTTCAGATCCTGCCGAGGTCATTTACTAGTCAACTGAGACTTTGGGCCGTTTCTCAGCCTTGTTGAGACTTCTTCGTGTAGAGCAGGAACCATGATCATCAGAGTTAAATCACGTGGTGCATTCAGAGTACCCAACAGCACGCGCGATGCATGGGAGCACCTTGAAGGTTAGTTTCCAAATGATTACAGGTAGACGTCTGCTTGTCTATTTAATGTATGTTAGATTTCCCCTAAGATGTCTGCGGGCAGACGTCGTGCCATCTTGTTGAGTACGCAGCTCTCTGCGTACGGTGCTTCTCATTTATAAGGACTTGATTGTAGGAGGGAAATTAACAAATTGAAGTTGTCTGGAGGAGGGCAAGTGCAAGGAAGAGGGGGGCTGGAAACCCTGTCACTTGGGGCACGGGGTGGTTTTTCTTGGGAGAGAGAAGGGAGGAGGGACAGAGCAGATGAGGGAAAGGAGAATGAAGACACCTATCCAGCGTCTTCCAGGGTCTGTAGCGCCTTTGATTTAAAGGAGCAGTGCTGCTGATTTACAGTTGAGAGGGCAGAACGGAGGGACTGCACATGCCAGCAGCGTGAGGGAGAGCTCGCAGGAGAACGATCGGGTGTGAAACGGGCTGCCTCAAAAGGCGGCGGTCCTCGTCCTTGGAACCATCCACACGGAAGCAGATCATGTGTGAGAGAAGTTGGAGTGGGGACTCCTGCATCATCAAGGGGGTGGAACTCGATGGTGCTAATACTAAGAGCCTGCCTCTCCTTCGGTATTTGCGGGGCATCTGCCACGTACCTTTGCGCTAGCTGCTAAAGATACAGAGATACAGGACATCTGTCCTCACAGAGAAGCTAATAGTCTGGTGGGGAAGATTTTGTAGGTCTGCACATGTATAAAAAAAATAAAACCACGGTGGTCAGATGCATCTGCGTTTCGAACCCAGAACTTTTGGTGACCTTTGTGACCATGGGTAATTGACTTCACCTTGGAACGCCATAGTTTATTTATTATTTTTTTTAATTTATTTTTTTTTCAACGTTTATTTATTTTTGGGACAGAGAGGGACAGAGCATGAACGGGGGAGGGGCAGAGAGAGAGGGAGACACAGAATCGGAAACAGGCTCCAGGCTCTGAGCCATCAGCCCAGAGCCCGACGCGGGGCTCGAACTCATGGACCGCGAGATCGTGACCTGGCTGAAGTCGGACGCCTAACCGACTGCACCACCCAGGCGCCCCTGAACGCCATAGTTTCTTTACCTGTAAAATGGAGAGACTGGTACTCACTTTATAGCCTCAATCATGAGGATTAAATGAGACCAGCATGGCCAACACCTTTTAGGCACTTAATTAGCAATTATTAATACTGTTATTTTTACTGTACCCATGCTTAGAGAAATCTGTATTAACGGGTGCTGTATTATAATGTTAATGGAGCTGTGTCCTAAGGCAGAGGGGGGACCCAGAGGAGGGATTGTTTCTGCCTGTGAAGGGGGTTGAAGTGAAGGGGTGTTTAAGAGATACTGAAGGCCAAGGATTGTAAACAGAGGGAGAAGGCGTTGCAAAGGCAAAGAAGTTGGGTACATCCTGGAATATTCTGAAAACTGGGGATGTTACGAGGAATGCAGTACAATTGTATGTGACACAGAGGAGACACTCACTGAAAGTTTGAAGAGTTAGGCAGGGCCATGTTGCCATGCTGGCGTGCATTTCACGCTAAGGAGTTTGGCTCCTGTATCTCAGCTGCGGGAAGTTCTGGAAAGTTCTTTGGAGGAACATACAATCACTTTGTGTTTTTTTTAAGTGGCTTAATTATTTCTCAGTTATTACAAGCTTATTACAACAGAAATTCAAATAATACAGAAGCATGAATCTAAAACAGAAAAAGTACCCTTTAGTCCACTCTAGATAAAACCCCTGCTTGAAATGTAGCCTCCTGTGTGTGTACAAGTATGCAGATCTGAACTGATAGGTATGGTTGTACATTTAAAAAAACATGTTTTAATGTTTATTTATTTTTGAAAGAGAGAGACAGAGTGCAAGCAGGAAAGGGGCAGAGAGACAGGGAGACACGGAATCCGAAGCAGTCTCCAGGCTCTGAGCTGTCAGCACAGAGCCTGACACGGGGCTCGAACTCAACGAATCGCGAGATCGTGACCAGAGTTGAAGTCGGATGCTTAACCGACTAGCCACCCAGGCGGCCCTATCGTTGTACATTTTATGGAAATAGGATCATCACACATACACACATACACACAGTTCTGCAACTTGCCACTTTCTCTTAGCTTTGTAGCTTTCACTCAAAGTATTTATTGCTGCCTGCTATTCCATTATGCAGAACTGCCATTATTTGCTTAACTAACCCTCTACCAATAAACATGTAGGGTGTTTCCAGTTTTTTCTATTAAAAGCAAATCTGTCGCTAACTTTTTTTTTAGTTTTTATTTATTTTGAGAGACAGAGCATGCACACGTGCGAGCAGGGGGAGGGATAGAGAGAGAGGAAGAGAGCATCCCAAGCAGGCTCCACACTGTCAGTGCAGAGCCTGACGTGGGGCTCGATCCCATGAACCATGACATGAGATCAGGACCATGAGATTCTGAGTGGAAATCCAGAATTGGACGCTCAACTAACTGAGCCACGCAGGCACCCCTGTGGTTAATTTTTATGTTCATAAGTCTTTGGATAATTTGTGTGAGTCTGTTTGTAGGATGAGTGTTTTGAAATTAAGTGCTAGCTTTAAACTTTTTAGTTTTGATAAATCTACCAGTTGGTTCCTTGCAGAGGACAGTAATAATTTATATGCCCTGTAATAGCGTGTGGGAATCTGATTCCGTCTGTATTCTGTGCTTGTGCATAAAGCAGTCTTTATCAGTTTTGCCTACAGGATAACTGAAAAAGATTTTTGTGTGTATTAAGTTTCATACTTTACGTCCTGATGGGATTTAACACCTTTTCCTCTATTTTGATCATTTGTATTTTTTCGTCTATTCTTTGTTTCTTATCTCCTTAGTCGTTTCTTACTGACATTTTTTGTGATGTTTTGTTGTTTTGGTTTTTCCCCACTTAGATATTTAACTTTTATGTATTCAACTTTATTAGTTTTTTTGTTTTTTTTTTAATGCTTAGATATTTTTTTCTGCCCTGTGGTTATAAAAGCATTCACTCATGTTTTTTATTTTACGTTTTACTTTACCCAGTACTTTACTTTTCTATTTTTACCACATTCTCTAAGGTTTGGGAACCATGTCGAATTTAGTTCCATATA